AGTTTCTGGACACTGATTTACTAGTTCCAAAGCGTTTGAGGCAGATTTTTATTTTTATGCTCTGAGCTGTTGCACAGTCTGAAGAAGAGCTGAGAGCAGCTGAAAGTGTTTTACACATAAAGATAAAAGCTAGCTTTTTGACTAGAATATTTTCTGTCATAGTTTATCTGTTTCTAAGTTTGTGCTGCTCATTTATGATTCAGTGTTTTATTCTCTTTTATATAATTTGTATTTTTTCTATTTAAACTTTTAGAATCAGAACCAGATTTATTGGCCAGGTTTGTTGGACATGCAAGGAATAATTTAAACAAAAAAAACAAAAAATCGTAATATTTTAATACTGTACAATGTGTATTGGTCACATTTATTCTGTCTCTTGTCAGTCAACTGTAAAACACAGTGTTTTGATTGACTGATTAATTGGGGTTGTTGACCTGCAGGGTTGCCTGTTAACAGTGAACCTATATTTGTTTGGCAGGTGTAGTCTTCCATACTTGAATCCTTTTTTCAAACCTTTATTAGAACCACAGTCTAGCATTCTTCCTCTACTTTTGGCTGTTCCCCGGTAGGGGGCGCCACAGCGAATCATCAGTTGCCACCCAATTGACGATGCACATGCTAAACTTGACATGTTTTACACCGCAATTTTCCATGTGTCAGGGGCAGGTTTTACAGGTTATTTACCTGAAATAGAATGACAGGAAAGCAAAAATCCTAAACCATCACACTTACCAAACATAAAATTGGGAATGACAAACCAGCAAAACACCCCTTTTAGCCAATTAATCTTAAATATACTATTGATAGTTTTAAATTCTAATACATTAAAACCTCCCCTTGAATTTTGTCTAATAAGAGTTTTCCTCCTTACATTTCCAAATTAATTGAACACAGTCCAAAGACATGCACCTTAGGTTGACAGGTGACCTGTCCAGGTGGACCCCGCCTCTCGCCCAGTGTCCACTGGGACTGGCTCCAGGACAAGCGATATAGATAATGGATAGATTTACTTATCTTAATTCATACATACCTCTATGTTACAACTTGTTTGACCCTTATGCCATCTACTGAGTGGATATCACAATCAAGTACAGTCATTATTTCACACTTGTGTTTTATTAATAGTGAGGCCAAACGGTTTTAAGCCGTGTATACCAAGTGGCACCTGAAGCTCGTTGTGAAGGAATAAACGTGTATTATCGACCAGTTGGTTCATGGTTAGGAGGCTGTCACCGATCCTTCTGCCTTAACACAATAAACACGCTGAGCAGTTCAGCTCCAGTTCCAGCACGTTTGTTCCACACAGGAACCTGCTCTGTCCGCGTGAAGCGTCTCTTTAAAGCCGCAGTTCTTTTCTGTCGGCCCAGTGGGGACGCACTGCGCCTTTAAGCCGCCTGAATGGAGCGTCGATGACGACATCGTTTTATTTTTATCGCAGTGACCTCATCTCTCATGGCAGCGAGTTCCTCTTCTCGTTTAGTCCAACTTTAGCGCCTCTACTTTCTATTTTATAAACTCGATTCCGCTACATCAAGTCAAACAACATCTTTAAACCAGCCCGGGCGGTTGAGGTGCTGTCTGGGCTTTGACGTCGAGTTTTCATACGGTGAGTTTACAGAAGGTTTCTGGTTAAAGTATAAATCAGCGTTAGATAAAGTTACATTAACGAGGCCTAAAGTCAAAGTTTGGGCTGTGTGTCTGTTGAAGACGAAGGTAATGTCCTGCGTGAACATGGATATGAGAACTGTCGCTGTGTAGGTTGTTTCTATAGGCATCGGCCTGGCGGCGGGTCGCTAACATCGACACACACCAACAAAATGTCAGAGCAGCGAAGCTAACGCTCGAAGAAACGCGAACGCAGCACCTGAAAACGTCGATCAGAGTCGTGTCACCGTTGATCCCACGTCGGTTTGTGCTCATTTACTTATTAAACACCGTTAACACAACTTTTTATTAACTGACACTAAAGTTTAACGCGACATTTAACAAAATAACCGTCCTACCTCATCCAGCACCAAGCCTAATTAAAAGGACAGTTTAATAGAGTATAAACCGGTTAGTGTTACTGTTTTCATTATAAACCGGTTAGTGTTACTGTTTTCATAATGTTTATCACAAATATCACTGTTGGAGGAAAACGTCCAGATTGGTATGGGTTTCTGGAAATTTGACCCAAACTCATTTTATACTCCTTTTTCTCATTACATCCTGTTCATACAACATTTTATTAGTTGACATTAAAGTTACATTTAGCGAAGTGCGCCCCCCTTTTTCACCACCAGACCTCATTAAAATAGAGATATTTAATGTGAATATACACTGGTTACTGTTACTCAACGCTTTCACACCACCATCAACTGTTTACCCTTTAAATCACTGTTTATAACCAGTAATAACAGATACGTCCTTAAAAAAATCCAGATTTATGTGAAATTCTGTTGAGATCTGACCCAAACAAGTTTATACACTTGTTCAAGTCAGTTAACACAACTTTTTATTCACAGCCATTAAGTGAAGCCTTAGATTTAACAAAATTATCCCCTAAATAAAAGGAGACTTTAATGCAGCATTGATGTGGACCAGTTTAAGTTAAAGTTGACCCAAAGTGTTGCACAGTAGTGAATGTACCACAGCGCAGTAGGGCTTTAGTGGACGCTGATCCACATCATGTAGGTTTAATAAACCGTGGATTACTGGACAGATGTTCAGCTGTCACATCACAGACCCCAGATCAGACCAGACAGATGCTTGGTCTGAATTCAATTTATGACTGACTGAGGTTTTATTGTATCCTGTGATTTCAGTCTCATTGAGGAAGTCGGTATTGAGCTCTGAGAATTGATGGCTTTGTTTTTCACAGGGAGGGAATTTAAAGGCCATTTTAAAATCAGTGCGTAAACATGAGACAGATGGACACGCAACTACGTACATTTACTCAAGTACTGTACTTAGGTTCTGTTTTGAGGTGTACTTCATTTGGGTATTTCCATTTCTGACACTTCATACTTGGACTTCACAACATTTCAGAGGCAAATGTTGTACTTTTTACTGCACTCCATGTATTTGATACTAACAAACTGCTCCAAAGGCTCAGAACGGCCCAGTGTCTGCAGTTGGTCTTGCTCTGTTGATGCTGCTGCACATGTGTTGGAGCTGTTTGTTAGAAACAGACGCCTCCCGTGTTTCCTGAGGAGAAACCTGCCCCCCAGTGCAGCGGTGGGGCTCACTGGGGGGGGGTTAATAGCTGGTGGACAACGGACAACAGTGGAGGTCTGTGGCACAGAGCGATGAGTTGGACCAGGGTCTGGACTCACACATTACCACGTTCACTGGCGCTGCTGGTCTCTGGACGGGGTGTGTGCCTCCTTTCATAATCCACTGAGTATTGGCATAGTAACCTGCCATTTCTTTTGGGATCTCTGCTCCATCTTTGATGAACCCATGAATCAAACTTTCGCTGGTTTGTTGGCCGTGCAGTGCCTCAGGGCGCAGACGTAGGCGTCCAGATGAGCGACTGAGTCCAGGAATATGGTGCTCGAGGCGGGATGACTTCACAGCTCTGGATGAGAACATGGTGTCAGATTGGCAGTGAGCCGCAGGGCTGATCCTCTGCTTACCATCGAGTCAGAGGAGTGAAACACTTGTGTAGTTTGCAGACATTAGGCCTGTTGAATGTCTGTTTCTGACACGCTGACTGATGACTGTGTGTGTGTGCGTGTGTGTGTGTGAAATTACTGTTGCAATGTGCAGATGTGTTTGATTTTGTGGTAACAAGCAGTTTGGCCATGTGGGTGTGATGTTGTCTCATCATCTCTTGGACGTGCTGTTAAAGGTTGGCTTGAACAAACTGATTAATCAAAAGGAACTAATTTTATGACTGACAAAATAATCTCACAAGGTCTTTGTGGCAGCTGTTCTGGAGCTTTCAGCTGTGTCTCTTGGTCCTCCACCAGCAGGTGGAGCTTGCAGCATTGACATGGAATCGGATTTGGAATACGATTAAAAGTCTGTTTTTCTGTGTGTTGTGGACTTCTCCATCACTGGAGCTTGTTGTGCTCAGAAAAATGGAAATGCTAACATCTACAATTACACTCAGTGGTCAGTTTATTAGGAACACCTGTCTCTAATCCAACAGCTCCACTTTTTAAAATAATGTTTACATTGGTGTAGGTTTTGGCTGAGGTGAGGTCAACCTCTCCTTTTTGAGTTAAACCTCTGTGATGTCAGCAAGAGAGGAAAGCCTTCTGATTGGCTGCTATCACGGTGGAGTCACTAACCTTTGGTCCAAGTCGGATGACAGGTCTCAAACACACACCTGCCACAGGTGCAGTGTCAGAGCATAGAGAAGCAGGAAACAGGCAGACAGCTTTATCCGATCTTTATCACGACTCCGGTCTGGTTTCCTGGTGAATGCTCGCCTCTTACGTCACCACACTGAATATTATTCATTATTGATTAACCTGCTGATTATTTTTTGATTAAGCAGTTTATTGTTTAGCCAGTGAAACATTAAAAAAGCAACAGAAGACCTGTTACAGTGTCCGAGTCTGCAAACACACAATTTACAGTGACAGAAAACAAGTTTCTCATTTGAGAGTCTTTGACATGTTTGTACTGTTTTTGTTTGAGGAACGGTTGAACCAATGAATTGTAAGGCAGGTTATTTTTATTATCAGTTGATTAATTGTGTTGCTCCAGTTGCGAGTTGTTGGGAGGCAGAAACCACACCTCTAGTTTTTTGACCTCTGCACCAGGACAAACATAAGAACTGTATTAAATGATGACTTCCACTTTTACCAGACTGGTCGAGTTGACTCAGAAATACGAACGGAATCAGTTTGGGGAAGCACCAGTACGTTCACCGGAGATTAGATGTGAAGCAGCTGTAAGTGTTGTTTTGGTTTTCAGTGGCTGTGCTGCTTTACAGGTCACATTTGAACTAAAATGAATGCATGTTCATTGGCTTCATTGGCTGTGCTGATTAGAAATGCAGCCAGTGAAAGGGAATTTGAGGTTTGTTTGTTTTTTGTTTTTGTTTTTTTGATACTGAACGTGTGTGTGTGTGTGTGTGTGTGTGTGTGTGTGTGTGTGTTGGTTTGATGAGAACGTTGACTTGTTGACTTTGGAAGCAGCAGTTGACAAAAGTTCATCTGTAGGTCCAGACTGAAAGTATTTGGACGGCACATTCAGCTAGAAATAAAATAATGGAAACTACATTAATGTTCCAGGTCTGGGCTTTAATTGGAGCAGGTTTGTATCACTACAGAAAGACCTGTGTGGCAGATCTAGTCCTCTTGACATGCAGAGCCTGTTACTGGTGCAGGGCTGAGAAACACTTTCCTTGCTGAACATTCTCTGTGAAACATCATTCTACAGATATTTGTTGTTGTCTGGAGAGATGTGATACGGGTGAGGTTTTTCTGATGCCATCTGTTCAGAGGATTCTGTAGCTGCTAATTTGACAGAGATCAGATGTCTGCAGAGGAATGTTGCGGCTTGAAAAGCCATAATTGGAGTCCCATTGCTCCTGGTCTATAATGTGAAGTAGAACACGAGGTTAGAGAGCAGCGTCCAGCCGCCTGCTGCCTGCAGGTTTCACACATCCTCTTGGTTTGGGATAAAGGTGAAGTTGAGCCTCTTTTATTCTGCTTTCTGCTCTTTTTGCTCAGTAAAGCCGCCAACACGCTGACAGAGAAATGCCACGGCCGTGCGCGCTTCTGTGTGCAGTCCAACTTTCCGACAGCACTGTCAGTTCTGAAGATGTTGCTGGTTCGTCTGTAACATCAGCACTTGATATGTTTTACTCCACCTGAAACCAACTGGGTCACCAGTAACTAAGAGGCTGGTGATGAAATAGTGCACTGGTGAAAAGCTCAAATCAGGATGATGGGGTCCTGTTTGTTTCCTGCTTCCCGCACCTTTACATTAGAGGAAGTGCAAAAATGTGAAACCTTCATGAATTTGCATGTTAATGCCAAAAGTGTCTCTCACATATGAAGACTTCTGTTTTACATGGTTGTAAATTGAATCTTGTTGTGTTGTTGGTTGTTTCATCCTCTGGGACAATGGGATGGAGATTTTTTACAATTTTCTGATATTTTATAAACTAAGCAATCGATGAATCAGGGCAGTCAGTATACGAAATGCTCATTATCTGAAGCCCGAGGCTCTTTCTAATCTGATCCTGGTTTCCATTGTTTTCTATTTGGATGCCATTAGCCCAGCAGTGTTGAGTGTGACTTCAGTGGCTCAGGTTCGGTCGTCTCAGACATGCAGTCACGATTCTTTCAGCTCTGTTTTCTATGTCAGATCTTTCTATCTCGTGATCCTCCTGAAAGCCTCCTTAGCTGGAGAGCATGTTACGTGACAACCAGAAACAGTGAGTTGTGATTATCTGCAGCGTAGATATGTATTAAACTCCGCCTCTTTGCCCATCTTTGGATTAGACATAGCAGGCAGAGTGAAGTTGTACCAATATGGCGGTGGCCAGACTTGAGCTTCAGAACTGCTCTTCAGGAATGGTGGGTTTGTCCACCCTTTATATACAGTCTGTGGGTGACACATGATTAAGAATGAAAGGACAATGATAATCTTGGGGCCCCCCTGACCTGCTCCCAAGGCCCTCCCGGGTGCCGCAGGCCCCATTCTCAGAACCACTGCCCTAACAAAGCTCTAGCTTTGACCTCCTCTTGGAAGACACTGGATCAGAGTTTGGAAACAGTAAATTGTGATTGTGAGTTTCCTGAAAGCTGCAAGAGTTTGGATGGTGACACTGGAAATGTGACTCCAGCCTGAATGAATGAACAGAGGCTGAGAGCAGCTGAGTGTGAGCAGATGTGTCAGATTCAGCAGAGTGGACGCAGTAGGAAAGAAAAAATTCTATTTTTTTTTTTTAGAGTTTTCTGGGCTCATGGAGTGTGTGACGGCGTGTGGGCTGTTGGAGGAGGAACTCGTCTGGGAAGTTTCTTTGTGCCCAAGTCGACTGTGTAACTGCTGGCTTCACAACATGAGGGAATTTCCTGCTGCGCAGCCCTGAGTCGGTGTGCAGAGAGGAGAGGAGAGGAGGGACAGGTTGATGGGAAGTTCAAACTCTCCGCTTCACTCAGGGTGACACTCTGGACTAGGCTGATGCCGCTGTCCACACAGCGTCAGTGGTGCATAGTAACAGAGTACTTTTACTCAAGTACTGAACCTCTGAGTATTTCCATTTTCTGCGGCTTTGTACTTGTACTCAACTACTGTAATACAGATACCACAATTGTTGAACAGTTTCAGACCTAGGTTTTTACATAGAAAACATCAGATTGACTGATAAATCGTTTAAATTAAACCAGCACACCATGACCATCTATAACACGACACACATCATGTTTGTGTGAACACAGTCACATGCGTACACCCTGGTAAGTTTGATCTGTCCTGTATCTGTTTGGATGTTTTAACTTCACTATTCAAACCTAACCGGGGCAGTGGCTGCACACTGGTGTCTGTTGCACTATTTCTGGTTCCTGGTGAAACAAACTAACAAATTAGCTCTAGTTACACCTGATGCGACATGAAGCACTGATGTTGCACAGAACATTAATGAAAGATTCACAGGGAACAGAATCGTCCTGAGGTGCAGTGAACACAGCAGCCTTCACATGCCTCCAGCAGGCTCTGACTCTGGGTGGTAAAGACAGCAGAAGTGAAACTTTGCTGCTCTGTCATGGTAAAAATACAGCTGAAACTTTGGCAGTCAAGAATCTTTATTGTCATTATGCATAGCACAACGAAATGTTTTCCAGCAGCTCTCGGCTTAAAAGACAGACACATTATTTACATAACACACAATTGTATACGTCGGTATAAAACTATGAACAAATAAAAAGGGATGTATGGGACATAATCAGCAGCATGTTGGTAGCAAAAGAGTGTAGTAACATTATAAGGAGCAGCTCAGTGCAAATTTCAGGCTTTAGGAAGAGGTGTGAGCATGGGTGTATGTCTGCAGAGGTCCAGTGTTCTGTCTGTCTGTCCATAGGGGGGAGCTTGTGTGTGTGACTGGGGGTTAGGGGGGATGACATGATAAATGTGTGTGATGAACCCAAGTCTAACTCGGTGTCCTTGTCTCCTCTGTGTCCCAGAGTCCGAAACCACTTCAGGATGAGGACCAGGATCAGATGCGGTGTCTTCGGCGCCTGGTCCAAGAGAAAAGACCCCTTTAGTTTCACACCTGCTGTGCTGTGAATGACCCCCGACACACTCAACACACACACAAACATACACTGTAACAACAGAGAGAGTTAGAGGGGTTTGGCTGTTTTGCTTCTCAGGGCAGAGCGAGGCCTCTCTCTGTCTCTCTCTCTCTCTCTGTCTGTCTGTCTCTCGGTGTTTCTCGTCCCAGAGTTTTGGGCTGCCAAGCGCCATCAGGATGACATCATACTGGGCCGACACAATGGAGCTCTTCATCGTTTGAGGTTCATCGCCGGGCTGCATCACTTTGCAGGGCCAAGAACAGAGAGGGAGGGGGTGGGGGGGAGGGAGGGGAGGAAAAAAAAAGGTTTGACATGTCAGAGCGTTCGGGTTCCAGGTACGGGATGCTGAGGCCTGGCATGGTGCGGCCCATTGGGGCAGAGGCTCTGGTGGCCCTGCTGGAAGGGGGGCTGGACCGTGTGGTGCTGATTGACAGCCGGCCTTTCGTGGACTACAACGCCTCACACATCCTGGAGGCAGTGAATGTGAACTGCTCCAAGCTGATGAAGAGGAGGCTGCAGCAGGACAAAGTCCAGATCACTGAGCTGCTGCAGCACTCAGCCAGGAAGAAGGTGGGTGCAGGAGCTTCACCTGTCCAACACACCTGAAACATTTAGCATTTGGACTGACCTCTTTGTTTTGTCTGTCTGTTCAGACGAAAACGCAGCTTTGAAAAACGCTGATATATCAGAGACCAAACAGTACCTGCCATTTCAGTGTTTCTTGAACTTAATCCAGAAGGGAAAGAAGAAGTTACTAGGTCTGTGCCTGACTGAGCATTTTGTCAGTAGGCTCTTCAGTGCGACTATTTGACTATTTGTCCTTTTTTAAAAATATATACACAGCCTAGACTGTCAGAAAATGACCTGGCATGAGTTTCAGTGATGACGTCGACCACATCAGCATTGATATTAAATGCAAAAAAGAGAGAGGATCATATTTCTGAGCATTTAAAAATCAATAAAAGACAGCTGCATATGATGCCAGATTTAAACTGCGACCTATTTAAATTGAGGACATCTAACGTTGGTCTGTGTATGGATTGGTCGGAATAACGAGACGGGCAGCACACTTGGATTTCTGTTGAAACAATGCGCTTATAGGCAGTTTTTTCTTCTGACACGTTATAGCCAAGTTTTGTTGTTCTTATCTCCTCGTTAAATGGTGTCGTCAGACCAGATCAGTGTCCCCATTGAAGTGGGTATCCATCCGTTCACCAGACCAGAGGGGGAAGCCCTGAGCAAACCGCTGCTCAGCACAGCAAAATGAGGAGAAAATGGCAAACTAGTGGCCTGGGGCTGCCTTCTGTTGTCATGCACACTGGCTGACAAAAAAATGAAATAAAATAAAAACGGGCTCGACTAGGAGAGTCTCAGTCGACTGACTCTTGACTGATGATTCGACTAGTCGCCTTGCAGGGGGCCCTAGAAGGAACACAGTGACAGTAACAGTGTTGGCGGCTGGCTTCACACCAGCGTTGCTGTCTTTATTATCTGCTGTTTTTCTGCCGTGTCCATGGACGACTCCTTTCTTTGTTAGAAAAGAAAATTTTGCCTCCTGCTCACCGTTTCTTCTTTGCTAGTTGTTTTTGTGTGGCTTGTTTGTGTGCTCGACACATGCACAGTAGAAACGTACTGAAACACCCAGTGTGGACGGATGTTGTTTTGGAACAACAAAAGTGTTTTAGAATTCACTCGGCTTAATGTAGACGCGCTCTCAGACCGATGGTCTCTGTGTTAAAGTCTGGTGTTACTGCTGGACGACATCCACACTTAGTTAAACCTTCTTCAGTCACACAGTAGTTAAAGAAAACTCCAAAATTGGAGGCAACCATTGCTTTTTCAGTCTGGACACTAAGAATCCAAACTAAGAAAGAAACCCTGCTCCTTGGTAAGGATCTCGGTGTGAAGTCCTCTGCTCCCTGTATTTACAGCATTGACAACTTGGTCCAGTTTTCTTGTTGTACCCTGACGTTTCCCTGCATTTCTCTTCAGCTGAATGAGGGCGTCCAACCTCAGAAGAGCATATTTAACAACGAGGGTCTGGAGTCGCAGCGGCCGCTCCTCCTGGTTTGTGGTGTCGTGTTAAATTGGAATAACAGCTTTACTGAAGCTCGGCTGCTCTTTTATTACCGAGGCAACAGTTTCCGTACGTTTATGAGCTGTCATTAATTCTGTGTGCACTGAAGGAGAGAAAGCTGCTTCCTCAAGTGAGAAGAAGCAAGAGAGCAGCCAGACCGCTGTGGTTTAGGCTCCGTGTGTTCAGCCGAGGGAGGCCACAGACCGACTTTACCTACTGCGTAGAAAGATGAGGATGCAGGTGATGCTGGGCATCAGAACAAACTGCCAAACGCAGGTTTTTTTTAAATGTAACATCATAAAATGTCTTAGTGTTATGTTTCATTGCCTGGGGTCTTGGTTTAGAGATGAGGGCTGCAACCACAAAAGATTTTCATTGGTACTTAATCGGCGTGAATCGGTTAACCAATAAAATGTCACAGTTCCTCACGGTTACGCTCGTGATGATTCCCAGAGGATGAATCCTGATTATTTTGTGGATCAACACTTTGGCTCACGATAGTATAGCTAAGATAAGATGAAACTGTGTCTGTGTGTGTGTGTGTCTGTGTGTGTGTGTGTGTGTGTGTGTGTGAGAGAGAGAGATTTACTAAAAGTAAAGAAGAAACTGGTTTAATTCACTGTTCACTTTGCTGTTTAAAAAATTTGCATCACCAAAACTGACCCCTCAAGAGGTATGTGCAAAACACTGTGGATCTTCTGGAATATCGTTGTGTAAAACGGTCCTGTGCACTCAGATACTCCTGTCTTTGTGTTGTAGTTGGAGCTGCAGGGTGACCAGGAGGTCGTCGTATACGATCAGAGTTCTTCAGACCCGGCGGCTCTCAGCTCTGAGTCTTTCCTCGGTGTCCTGTTGGTTAAGCTGGAGAGGAGTTTTCCCTCTGTCCACCTGCTTTCAGGTGAGTCCTGCCTCACCTCAATCCTCCGCCTCCTACAAGCCCTCAGGGGGACATTTACTGAGGCTTGGGGCTCATTTTTTGGTGTTCTTATTTACCAAGGAGTCCCAGTTTGGTTCTGTGGCTGGAAGTTGCACGTTTGTTCACAGGCAGTATGTATTTTAAGGCATTCCCATTCAGGGACACAAAATAAGGGAAGAGAGAGTGCCTCAGCAGCTGATTTACCACCACAGACTGATGCTGCGGCTGATGTTAAAGGTCAGGAGAGAGCTCTGCTGTCGGAGCGCCAGCTGTAAGTCACCTGAGACATCGCTGGTGTTAGGAACACACGAGAGGAGGGGGAGGGTGTTTCTACATCACCTCTTCCTCCAGAAGAGACTGTGAGAGCCAGGCTTTTAGGTCCCACTGTTGTTCAGTTACTGAACCAGATGATTTGGCTGCATGCGACTATGTGACTGCAGCTTGGAAATATGGTTGTCGGTTTATTCAAGCATATTAAAGTTCAGTCGCAGTTAACGTTTCTTCTACGCTCCATCTCTGTTGTGCATTTACATGAGCACTGCTGCCACTGTGCTCATTTCCATCATTAGTATGCCATTTCAGAGCAGAGGGGCTTTTTCAGAGCTCTTAGAACAAAGGGGAAGAGTACAGCCTTTTTGTGTGTTCACAACGGAGGAACCAAGAACGATGGCACTTCTTAGAATGCTGTTTTGACTGACTTTTTTTGGCTTCTACTTCAGGGTAGATACTCTCCTAGTGCAATAGGAACCATGAGTTATGTATGTGCACATTAACTACAAAACCATGTTAGCCATGTAAAGAATAGTGATCAACAGCCATCACCAGTGACATGGGGATCTGCAGTCTGGCAACATAAGCCTCTGCAGAGGAAAAGGAAGCTTTCAAATCAGAGAGCCCTGGAGCACCTGGCAAAAGAAGAGAGGTGGAAGAAACTCACTGATGTTTACAGGAAGTGACTGGTTTCAGTTATTTTGTCCAAAGGCTGTGCTACCAGATATTAAGTTGAGGGTGTCACTAATTCTGTCCAGCCCATGTTTGGAGTTCTGGGTGGGCTGGACCAGATTTGGCCTTTTTCTGATTTCTTTGCATTGCTCCAATGCAAACAAAAGGAATAAACCGGAGAATTACAAAGAATATGGGATTGCAGCAATTTTCTGGGAGAAGTGATGTGTTGTCTGACAGAAATGCAGCGGTGCCAATATTTTTGGCCATGACTATAAATGTAAATCCTCACTAATGTCTTTGCAGCACAACGGAGCAGCTGTGTGGTTTTAGTGGGCCTGTTTCACAGCTTTCTGTTCAGGTTCACAGCAGCCTGATGAGCCTGAGCTCAGTCACCTGTGATGAAGCTGTGTATGAGCTGGAGCGACAGGTGGCGCGACTGCAGACGTCCTCCCTTCTTTCCACGGAGGGTTATGTTATGTAACTATGATGTAATGCTGCACTGACAGCTCCACCCTCACACATAACAAAACGACAACAACAATGACTCTGGGCTTTCCAAAGTCATTGGGCCAGAGATTGAACTGTTTCCCAGCAGCAGCTCCTCTCAGTGAGGAACCTGTTTGTGGCTGATGACAGGAGGGGAAGCTTTAAAGGGAAGTCCACAGAAAACAAAACAAGATCAGTTCTGACTTTGACATTTGAGGCAGGAACATACTGTAAACATGAGCAGTTAATCATTAAAACACTTTTCAAAAGATCTTCTCTGTTATTGTGCAGTAGATATTAACCATGAACATACTGAAACTGACTCTAGGGTCAGTTTCACGGTACACCACGGTATGAAAATGGACGGTTATCATACCGGGCACATTCGGTTATTACCGGTATTGAAATAAAATACGATGCATGTGCGCCTTTCTTCCCCAACTGCCTGTCGGACTCCACACCAGTGGACAAAGGGCAGAAAGGAGGCGGCTGAAATCAGCAAACTCCATCCAGTAACAAAGACATTTAAACCAGCAGGATTAGTTTGGCGATCTCAGAAACGAGCGGCGTCTCTCCTACAGGATGTGTCCCGTTTATAACTTCAACCCCAAATGATAAACATCAATCAAAGTTCAAAGTGTTTATTTTGTCATATGCACAGTTAGGAAATGTGTTTCCCTGTACAATGAAATTCTTACTTTGCCGTCCACATGAATGCCACAAAATACAAATGAAATATAAAGTAGATAAATAAATAACACAAAATCTAAGGCACTTTAAGCAGCAAATGCAGAGATATAATAAAAATATATAAGAATATAATAGAAAATGTATGCTGCATGGGAGCAGCATGTGCAGCAGTCAACAGTCA